CTACAGAATTAGAATCTGCATTTTAACAAGACCTCCAGGTAATCTAATGCACATCAACTTTGAAAATCCATGATCCTAGGCGAGGTCATGAGTTCAAGGCTCACACTGATTGGCAAAAAAAAAAAAAAAAAAAAAAGAAAGAAAATCCATGATCCTAAGGCGGGCGTAATGGCTCACGCCTGTAATCCTAGCACTTTGGTAGGCTGAGGTGGGTGGATCACCTGAGGTCAGGAGTTTAAGAAAATCCATGATCTAGGGTCGTGTTCTCAATAGAAACATAATGCCAGCCACATGTGTAATATTAAAGTTTCTAGTAGCCACATTATCAAACATAAAACGAAACAGGTGAATACTGTTTTTATTTAACCTGATCAAAAGTACTCTCATTTCCATACTTGGCTCTAGCCACATTTCAGGTGCTTAGTGGTCACAGTGGAGATCCTGTTGGATGGCACAGGTATGGGGCATGACCTAAACAATTATACGTCCTTAAAAATATCCAGGTGGTTCTAATCCATACTCAGGAGAGAGAACTAGTGTTTCTTAAAGAGCATAAGAATATTAGATGCCAAAATTCAGCTGACTCCTGTATTTAATGGAGAGCACTTTTCACTGCTGGCTTTTCTGGGGCCTTCATGGGGAGGGCTCCAGATACCTAACCCTGGAACTTTGGCATCCTTGAGGTCAGGCGTAGAATAGCTCTCAGCTGGGCCTCGGTTCCTTGCTCCTGGAAATCAGCTTCCCCTGGGTGGTGATTTGCCTTGATCGCATTCTTTTGAGAAGTTATTGAGCAGAAAGTGCACAATAAACTCTCCTTTTGGGGTTCTGACTTCAGTAAGTTGAAGCAGTGGAGGCAGCAGATGTAACCACATTAGAAGATGGATAGGACATCTGCTTGCTTCTTGAGAGTGTGCAGCCTTTGCTGGGGTGAAATGTACATAATAGTAATGTAGATCCAGGAGATGAAGGAACTGGGGCTACTTCATCTTCACATGCATAGACATGTTACGTACCATCCCTAGCATAAGGCAAGGACTAAGGACTCTCCACTAAGGACTTTCCACTACTTGGAACATATATGGGGGGAGCGGGAGTGTTTATATATGTGTCTGTGTGTGTCTGTGTGTGTGTGTGTGTGTGTGTGTGTGTGTGTGTGTAGAAAGAATATATAAATGAATAGCTCTGATTTTCTAAATTGAAATTCTAGTTGAAATAAAGGGTGTGATTCATCACTCAGCTTAGAGTCCAGATTGTCAAAGGGAATGGAACTGTGCTAATATAGGAGCTGCCAACCACATATGGCTCTTGTCACCTGCAATGAGGCTTATCTACAGTGAGGCGTGCTTTGAGTGTGAAATATGCCCCAGAATTTGAAGACACCATGAGAAAAATGTCTCATTAATAAGATGAAAATTGATTTACATGTTAAAATAATAATCCTTTGGATATTCAAATTAATTTATCTTGTTTCTTGTTTTATTGTTAAACTTGGCTATCAGGAAATACATAGCTACATATATGAATTACACAATTTTCTCTAAGACATCCCTAGTTAGACTCAGAGCCCCTCTAGTTCTTCATCCTGTCCCAACTGGCTAGGCACAGACCCACAGCAGGAGCTGAAGGGTTGATTAAGTCAAAGGGGGAAACTCAAGTTATCCTCTCCTAGAGTAGCCCAAGCTGTGGTCTAATTGAAAGAATCTGTCAGACCCCCATCCTGCATATTGAGAATCTAGTCCTGCCTTCGGCTCCTGGGCAGATGACCCCGTGTCCCTAAGCACTCCCACTGTGCCCGGCATTGAGTTGGCCTTAGACCATATTGCAGCATTAATTACTTCATTCCCTGGATGTTGCTCTCTTATATTTGTCTTTCATAGAAAGCTGAGAAGTGAGAAAGGAATACTAATCCTTTCCACAAGATGCTTCTCTTGCTCCATCTGCTTCTGTACGGAGCTGAGATGTGGAGTGGGACCCACCTACAAGGGGCTTTGTATAGAAAGTCCTCTCTCCCACTTTTTCCATATCCTGCCCCTTCTCTTTAACTCAATCAGATATTGATCTCAATTTGGAATCAATGAGTTTTTTTACTGAAGATATAGAGAAGCACCACTTGAAAAGGACAGCAATTTGTCCTGAAAGTGGTTGTATTTTTGTTAATATAGACATATCCCTTCTTCTGGATTAGCTTTTGAATATCATGTTTGCATATGACAAAATTTGGAATTTGACCAGAAAACTTTCAAAGCCAAATATTTGGCATCATTATTAGTCCTTGTGCAACAAATGGAGTTAGTCTCAAGTACTTTTTACTCACAAAGTAAAACCCTCTCATATTTTATTTTATTTATTTATTTTGCCAATTAGAGACGGAAGCTGCTCACCAGCTCTGGCTCAAGTGATCCTCTTGCTTGACCTCCCAAGGTCCTGAGATTGCAGGCATGAGTCACCATGCCCAGCCTTCATATCTAGTTTAGATCAAGGAAGTTAATTCAACCTAATCATAAGTCTTTCCTAAAATCACCCTCACTAGACCATAATGACTTCTTCAAGCGGGCTTTTCCTTTATGCTTCTTAAGATCTGTGTTTAGAAGTTTGGGAAATTTATTCCTATTTGTTTTTAAATCAATCAGTGGGCTATTCAAGTTTCTGGCGTTATTTTTTTTTTTCCTTTGTTAGTAACCATATCAAAAGTAAAAGATATTTTTACAATCTCACTATTTTCCTTTTATCACAACCGTTTTTTGAAGAAACGAGATGGCTTTCTTCAAAAAAAAAAAAAAAAACCCTTCAAAAAAGGTTTCCTTGTGGTTTTAGATGATTCAGAGGTGGTAGAGTTGAAGGAGTGTGAATGAAAAACCGGGACCCAAGGGGGTGGGCTGGGGAAGAGATTAGATTATATATTTCACTGCTTGGCTCTGGCATGCAGGGTGACTTGTTAGTCTGGGCTGCTATCTGGATGCTGGGAGAGCCTCGGGGATGTGTTTCTGACACAGGCATCTTTGTCCAGAGGAGAAGTTGACAAATGCCCACCCACGGAGCTTTTCTGTTGAAGTGCACGGGGCAAGAGGAGCTCCTTGGTGTTGATCCTGTTTACCACGTGGGGAACCCAGCAATGAGGGGATTTGAGTGAGCCTTTCTTGGGCAGTTTGTTCTAACAACCAGAAGATGGAGCCCGAGATTGAGGTCTGGTGCCTGGTCTGCCCACAAGGAATATTCAATATAGACCAAATTCTGGGTCATAAAACACCTTCACATATTGAAAAGAATATAAATCATACAAAGGATTGTTTCAGATCACAATAAATCAGCATATCCGTCTATAGCAGAAAGACAGAAAATTTCAAAAATCTTAAACACTTTTCTCTGAAAATGTTTAGAGATTAACACATGGGTTGAAGAAGCCTCAAAATAAATTAAAGAATATTTAAGGCAGGATGTGGTGGCTGCCCCCTCTGACCCCAACTATGAGGGAGGCTGAGGTGGGAGAACAGCCTGACACCAGGAGTTCCAGACCAGGCTGGGCAACATAGTGAGACCCTGTCTCTAAATAAATAATAAATACATAAATTTATTTTAGAAACGTGAGTTTTACGTAAAGTTTCGCTTTTGCTTGGCTTCTTCCTTTTCCTCCTGCTTCCACCTTTCCCTCCAATGGTTTCTCTGAAACTTCATGAATTCTGAAGTCAGAGTCTGGGATCTTCCTGACTCTGCTGAAAGTGTACTTTTCAATCATGGAATATTACATATATCCCCGGCAAATTTACATGGCCAGGAGGCAGGGCCTCTTCTAAATCAGCTCACAATGCTGACAAACCAGACCCCTGACCCTCTTCAATGATTCTTAAAAGTGGAACATGGGCCGGGCGCGGTGGCTCACGCCTGTAATCCCAGCACTCTGGGAGGCCGAGGCGGGTGGATCACGAGGTCAAGAGATCGAGACCATCCTGGTCAACATGGTGAAACCCCGTCTCTACTAAAAATACAAAAAAATTAGCTGGGCATGGTGGTGTGTGCCTGTAATCCCAGCTACTCAGGAAGCTGAGGCAGGAGAATTGCCTGAACCCAGGAGGTGGAGGTTGCGGTGAGCCGAGATCATGCCATTGCACTCCAGCCTGGGTAAACGAGCGAAATTCCGTCTCACAAAAAAAAAAAAAAAAAAAAAAAAAGTGGAACATAAGGCCGGGAGCCGTGGCTCACCCCTATAATCCCAACATTTGGGGAGACCAAAGTGGGCAGATCACTTGAACCCAGGAGTTTGAGACCAGCATGGGGAACTTGGTGAAACTCCATTCCTACAAAAAAGAAAAAGGAAAAATTAGCCGGGTATGGTGATCTGTAGTCCCAGCTGGGGCTACAGGGAGGCTGAGGTGGGAGGATCACCTGTACCTGGAGAGATCAAGGCTGCAGTGAGCTGAGATCACACCACTGCACTCCAGCCTGGGTGACAGAGTGAGGCTCTCAGAAAAAAAATAGTATATAAAAGTTGCCAATGGTTTAAAATGCAAAGAACACTTGAAAACACCGCACTAGTTTCAGTAGAGCCCTCTGTGGGGAACTGACTTGTGATGACAGCGTGACTGCCTGGCCCCCAGCATGGTCTCCACAGTGACCACAGCTGTGTCAGCAGGAGGAGCACAGCACTGAGGACCCCACAGGGGAAACGGAAGGAGGAAGGATCGGCTGATCAGGGTCGGGTGTTACCAGGAGTGCACTTGAGACTAAACAGTGCATTCTACAGTGGGGGAATTACTGTTGCTAACGTAGACAAGCTCACATCCAAGACAAAGTTAGCTACTTGGAGCCATGGTGCAGGAAAGTTCGTCAGTGCTGGATATGATACAGGTATTTATCTACATTTTTCTGGTTCACACACACCCCCTCCCACACTTGCACACACACATACATTGCACTATGAATAAAAAGTCTTGCCCCCCTATTATTTAGAAACTCACAGAATTCATTTGGTTACAGCCAAATATTTATTAACTTATAAACTCCATAATACATTAAATTGAACGTACAGAACTAAATGGTAAAGCATTTGGAAATTAATTTAAGAATACAAGACATATCATTAGGAAACAAAATAGAAACACAAAGCCCAACATGTTTGGTGGTGCCAATGATCAACATTTAAAGCTCAATTTCTATACTAATGAATCTGTGAAGTTAATTACATCATGTAATGGTCTATATTTTTCTGCCAACAGAAACTTCCTACGTTTACCTACCAAGTAATTTAATTTTCCAATCCTGTTTCTATGCTGTGGGGGTTTATTTGCCCTCCCCAGGAAGGACTGGATGGGCAGTGCCTGGGTTTGTCACAGGACAGATACTTAGGACTCCCTGATCTGGGAGAGTGGAGGGAGCAAAATATGGGCGCAGTGGCTCCTCGGGAAAAACTTTTGTGAATGTATAGATGTGGGATCCATCTCCCAGGTGGTAAAAGGAGATGTCTCCCATGCCTCTATCCATAAAAATCCCCACTCGCTGTAAATCGGGGTTCACCCAAAGGGGTGTTGGAGGGCTTGTGTTAGCAAAGTGGAAGCCCCCAGCCCTCAAACTCACAATCCAGAATCCATGATCCGTGGTCATTTGGATGATCCCTTTGCGACTGGCAGATTCTCTGCAGACTCCCAGGTTCCATTCTTCGCTTGTTCCTAGGTCCACCTCCCAGTAGTGGCGGCCAGAGGTGAAACCAGGGGAGCCCAGGACAGCACCTGCCAAGTTGAATCTCTCAGCGAGATCTGGTCGATTCTGATGGATCCTCCCACAGTGGACACTCCTGAGGTCTTCAGAAATGAGGAGGAGGTTGTGAGCCGTGTCGACATCCAAGGTCACCTCCACTGCGAAAAGAAAAACAAGTAGCTCAGCAAATGGACAGAAGCCAATCCCAAGTCACTCCTCTCCCACAGAGTCCCAAAGAGCTCATTGACTTTGGTTTCTCTCATTCTGCTTTCTCCTTGGAGTCAGCGCTTTTCTTGAGACAACTTTTCTGAGTAGTTGAAATTCTCACAGATAAACTTGTTGCAATACCTGGCTCTTATTCATAGAAGTTCTTATTTTACATTATGTCATGTGTTTGTTCATGCCATGTATTTCTTTTGCTTAGGGTGGAGGGTCTCCAGACAGACACCATGGCTCTCTTTCTACTATACTAATGAGTGAAAAGAGTGATCGTTGGCCGGGTACCATGGCTCACGCCTGTAATCCCAGCACTTTGACAGGCCAAGGCGGGTGGATCACAAGGTCAGGAGTTCGAGATCAGCCTGGCCAACATGGTAAAACCCTGTCTCTACTAAAAATACAAAGAATTAGCGGCGCGTGGTGGCAGGTGCCTGTAATCCCAGCTACTTGAGACTCCGAGGCAGGAGAATCCCTTGAACCTGGGAGGTGGAGGTGGCAGTGAGCCGAGACTGTGCCACAGCACTCCAGCCTGGGCAACAGAGTGAGACTCCGTCTCAAGAAAAAAAAAGAGTGATAGTTAAGGCAATGCAAGTCAGCAATATTAAAAGATGTGTTTCTGTTTTCACATTTTATTGGTCCAATTTAAATAGCGTCTAGGGCATGAATCCAGGCCTTTGTTCTCCGTGTTTGCAACCAATTAATTTTGTTCACAGTTTTGACAGGAGATGGGATATCTCTGCAGCTGACAGTGTGATGACAGAGGTCCCATTCCCAGACATTAAGAGGACACATTCCTGGATGTTAAGTGCAAGAGGAGGATAAGGACCTATACAGAAGAATGCTCTTTATCCTATGGGGGGGTTGAGGTCTTAAGCAAGACAAGGTTAATGAGCTTACATTTAAGAGCTGAGAAAAAGGTATTTGAGAATTATTAGAATAAGCACTCGGCAGCATTAGGTGTGTGGTTGAAAGGTGAAGTCACCGATTTTAATGGAAGAGGAAGAAAGGAAGGGGCGTGATCTGGCCTAGGAAAATTTATTGCCTAGACCATTATGGAAAAAAAATCTACAGAATATATTATCCTTCAAGGCCAAAGATAGATGTGACTACCAGTATAGATTTTGTACATTAAAATAAGGTATCAGCTATTATTTTGTTAAATAGGTTTCTATGCCTTTGCCTGTCTCTGGAACTCCAAAAATGTGAATATTTGGTCACATAAGCTTTCTGAATTTTTAAAATTATATTCTGGGGTTTTTTTCCCTTTTTTTTTTTGTCAAACTGGATTATTTCCAAGACTTGCAGAATGAGACAAAAGATTTGTAAACTATTCATCTGACAAAACTAATATTAACAATGTACAAGAAGCTCAAGCAGCAGCATAGAAACAAACAATCCCATTAAAAAGGGGCAAAGAATTTGAATAGACACCTCCTAAGAGAAGGCAGATGAATGTCCAATGGGCATTTTAAAAAATGCTCAGTGACACTCATCAGAGCAATGCAAATCAAAACCACAATAGGATGTTATTTCACCCTGGTTGAAATGGCCGTTATCAAAAGCACAAAATAAATGCCAGTGAGGACGTGAAGAAAAGGGAACTCTTAACAGTGTCAGAAATGTAAATTAGTATGACCATTATGGAAAGCAGTAGAAGGCTCCTCAAAAAACTCAAAATACAACTCCCAAGGAATCCATAAATCCCACTGCTGGGTATGTGTACAGAAGAAAGGACGGCAGTAGATGGAAGGACAGCTGCACTCTCCCATTTATCACAGCACTGTTTACAGTAAATGTCCATCAACAGATGCATGAATAAAGAAAATTTGGTATGTGTATACACAATATAATACTATTCAGACATAAAAAAGAACGGAATTGTGTCTTTTGCAGCAACATGAAGGAAATTGGAGGTCAGTGTCTTAAGTGAAACAAGCCATGCACAGAAAGTCATTGTCATGGATTCTCACTCATAAGTGGGTGCTTAAAAAAGTGTATATAGGGACATAGAGAGTGGAATCATAGATAATGGAGACTCAGGAAGGTGCGGGTGTGGAAGAGGGGGATTATGAGGAATTAACTGGTTCATGGGTACAATATACCTTAATTGAATGATGGCTACATGAAAAGCCCTGACTTAACCACTACGTAATCAATGCATGTAACCAAATTGCACACGTATCTTATACATGTGCGCAGATTTCTTTTAAGTTTTGATAATCCCTTGTCTAATCCATGACACAGACACAGACATGGGTGTTTTTTGTTGGAGATCAAAAAAATTAAAAACTAGGTGGTTCTATGTGTTGTCAGGGCTGAGAATCACTGATGCCAGAGGAACATCTCAATTTCAGGTGCCAGGTATCAGCTAATTCCCAGGCAGTATGGAGAGCCAATTGCTTTTTCCTCTTCTGATAGTGGGACAGGGCAGGGTATATAGATTCCTTACCTTGGAACTTCCGTATCTTTGGGTTCATCTGCAGAATCTTTTTCAGCTTGGGCTCCAGTTCCTTAATGTGGGAAACCAGGCTCCCCAGCTGCCGATTGAGCCTGATGTTGTTTTTCTGAGAAGCCACCAAGCAGAAGGGACACAAGACACCTTCACCTTGGGGCTCCTTCTGCAGTGAATTGGTACAACTGAGGCAGAAGACACACTCACATTCCAGGGTCATTGGCTTTTCTAAGTAAGCTGTGCAGATGGGACATCTGGTTGCTTCTTTTAAGAGTTCATCTGTGCTCACTGCCAGGGGGGAAAACATGCGCAGGGAAGTGAATTTTCATGAAGTGACAGCCTATTAGTGTGTGACAGGTGACTACCTTTCCATGCATAGAGTTGCTGTGTTCCAGCTTTGTAATCCCAGAACAAGCACGTGAGTACAAACACTTGCGCACATGGTCCTGCCTTGAGAGGTGAGGTTCTATTGGGAAAGACAAGTCCCAAAGGGTCCCTGTGCTCTGAGCTGAGGAGGAGGAAGGGTCGATTCTCCTGGTGACCCAGCAACTGTGCCAGCAGAGGAGCCTGACCCATGACACAGCAGCACCCATGTGAGGAGCAGTGAGCTGTGGTCATTCCACCTCCTCCGAGGGGAGCCCGAGCAACAGATTGAGGAGAATAAGAACTGCAACCTCTGGCTCATGCCTATAATCCCAGCCCTGTGGGAGGCTGAGGAAGGCAGATCACCAGGTCAGGAGATAGAAACCATGCTGGCCAACATGGCAAAACCCCATCTGTACTAAAAACACAAAAATTGCTGGTCTTGGTGGCACACGCCTGTAATCCCAGCTATTCAGGAGGCTGAGAATCACTTGAACCAGGGAGTTGGAGGTTGCAGTGAGCCCAGATCTCATCACCACGCTCTAGCTTGGTGACAGAGTGAGACACCATTTCAAAAATAAATAAATAAATAGCTGCAGCCTTGGGACCGAATGAATACCAAATTGACTGCCACTCCTAGAGCGAGGAGACCCAGGGTGATTGATTTCAAATCTCAGGCAGCACTTAGACAGCCCTTGTTGAATGCATTAATTGCTAATTTCTCTCATTCATCTCCTATGCTGTAACCCCAATTCTAGACATCTGAGAAGGGAAAACAAAGCACCCAGACGTGGACTTACCTCTTCTGCCGACAGCTCCTTCGCTAGCCATCGTCTGGCACCGGAAGCGAGGTCTGTGGGGAAGAGGCGTAGGAGGGCCTTTTATTGGCGAGATTGCCCCACCCTCCATGATCACACCCTGCCACACCCTTTAATCCTCCATGGTCACACCCTGCCACCCCTGTAACCTAATCAGATTTTTATTTAATTATAGCAGGGAATAAGCTTTTTATGAGTGATAAATCTGCAGTCAACAATATTCTTAGTAAAACCCTTCATCTTGACACTATTTACCTTGAAAAAGAAGATAAGATTAAATTGCCACCACTTTAGATTAGATTAGACCTGACATACTAATATTACAAGCCTGTTTTAGAGATTTTTCCAGCAGTTGTTAGCAGCAATGATTTTGCTGATATATATTATACACTTCAAGCTTTGCTTAGAATCCCAAAAGAGATTATCAGTGTGATTGCATTCACAATTTTACAAAGTGCTATACATTTATATATACATCAGACTCAAAGGCAATGGGTACATGCATGCCAATGAGAAAATTTTAGAGTGTTTTTATTTACTTCCATTTGTTCATCTTCCATTCTGAAAATTTATGATGAATCTCAGGAATAATTCAAAGTGTGAAGAATGACCGTTCAGATACAAGCAAGAGTCGAAGAACAGAATGTTTTCTCTGCTGCTTCTGTTTTCAAGTGGAAATCACTAACAGTGAAGTAAATGGCACTTTTCTTTCCCAAGAACCAGCCTTGAGTCTTTTCCTTTTAATCCCTATCTGTGCATAAAAATCCCCTACTGTGCTGGGCACAGTGGCTCACACCAGTAATCCCAGCCCTTTGGGAGACCAAGGAGGGTGGATCATGAGGTCAAAAGATGGAGATTATCCTGACCAACATGGTGAAACCCGGTCTCTACTAAAAATACAAAAATTAGCTAGGTGTGGTGGCGCACACCTGTAGTCCCAGCTTGAACTCAGGTTGCAGAGGTTGCAGTGAGCCAAGATAGTGCCATTGCACTCCATCCTGATAGGCAGAGCAAGACTATATCTCAAAAAAAAAAAAAAAAAAAAATCCCCTGCTGAGATATTTGTAGTTTCATTTCAAAATGCGAATGATTCTAATATCACCTTACTATTTTTCCCATCTCACATTTTATCACAGATTAAATAACTTTTTTCTTTCTACATACTTTTTGAAGAGAGGCCTACTTTTGGCCATCTTTAAATATGATTCCTCATGGGATCAGATGACTCAGAGAGACTCAAATCCTGAGCAAAAGGAATAATGAATCTACAGCTCTCATAGAGAGGCTAGGTTAATTTAAGTGATTAATGTGTACTTAATGTATAGAAGAACGGCTTCATTTTCAACTCTTAAATAACTTTTCTTTTTGAAACGAAGTCTCCCTCTATTGCCCAGGCTGGTGTGCAGTGGCACCAGTGGCACCGTCTCAACTCACTGTAATATCTGCCTCTCAGTTCAAGCAATTCTCATGCCTCAGCCTCCCAAGTGGCTGGGATTACAGGCATGCACTACCACAGTTGGCCAATTTTTGCATTGTTGGTAGAGTCTGGGTTTTACCATGTTGCTCAGGCTGGTCTCAAACACCTGGCCTCATGTGATCCACCCACCTCAGCTTCCCAAAGTGCTGGGATTACAAGCAGGAGCCGCCACAGCCAGACTCAAATTTTAAATAACTTGAATAAATATAATCTTACTATTTCCCCCACCTAAAAGTGTATCACATATTAAATGACTATTCTTTCATTCTTTATCTATACTTTTGAAAATACCTAATTTTGGTCCTATTCAAATATGATTTATAATGGGATGAGATGAGCCTCAGTGATTCAGTGTCTAGATGCCGGAAATGAAGCCTTAGGAAATGCGATGTAGGAAGTCAGATTGGTTTCCAGTGACGGGATCAAGTTGAATTTTGTTTATAAAGCAATCATTTTGCAGTTTATGTTTTTCTGGATTCCAGGCCATTCCACACCCAAATATAAAGACAGGGTCCAGCCCTCTATATTCTCTAAGGAGGAAAAATAAAACTGAAAAAGACACAACTTCAGCTAAAACTTGTGAACAGAGTTCTGTGAGACTGGTGTGCAATTTCTCATGACAGAACAAAAGATGGTGGAAACAATTTCTCTGGAGCTATAAAAAGGCTTATATAGGAAGCAGCCATTTAGTTGGGCCTTGAGTTTTTGTAGGATTTTGTCAGCCAGCTAGGCTCATTTCTGGGCAGAAAGGAGGGCTGGTGCCTATCACAGGAGGCAGGAAATGACTTAGGCAGTTTATTGATCCTGTACATTTACCTTGTAGGGAATTTGGGAACCCTGATGGCCATGTTAATGAGCAAATGCTCAAGATTCCCACTAGATGTCAAGAAAACAATATTTTATAACGTGATGCATGATGTATTTGCTGCAGTGCTCACAGCAGTGGGGTGAGAATATTGTGTTGCTGAAGGCTCTGGGTGGTGCAGGATTGAGATAGTCATGGTTTGGGTAAAAAAGCAGAAATCCAGGAGCTGACACCCTGGAGCAATGATGGGAACGTGCTGGTAGCTCTCATGGGAAGCAATGAATCCATAAAGCAGATGGTGGTGGGAGGAACAGCACCCACCTAAGGATTCTGTCCAGGCAGCAACGTGATCCCTGGAGATTCAGACTTCAGTTATGGAAGTAGAGCTCAGAACCTCCAGGAAAACTGACTCACATAAGATTGTGGGTGAGGCCGGGCATGGTGGCTCATGTTTGTGATCCCAGCACTTTGGGAGGCTGAGGCAGGCAGATCACTTGAGGTTAGGAGCTCAAGACCAGTCTGGCCAACAAGGTGAAACCCTGTCTCTACTAAAAATACAAAAATTGGCCAGGCATGGTGGCACACGCTTGTAGTCCCAGCTCAGTGACCACTTACTTAGCTGTTTGTTAGACCCTCCATTTCACTGATTTAATCATGGTTTGATTATTTCATCTCTGAGCCATCACTCCATCTCTTTTAAAAGTAGCAGAGAAACAAAAATAAAGTGTCACAGTTCTGCTTAATCCAGTGTTTTTTAAGGCTTAAAAAACAGAGGATGTTAGTTCTCTCCTCAATTTCCTCATTCGTCCAAATGGAAACAATCTAAGTAAACCACCTAGAACAGCAGTGTGCCACACGGGTAGGGACTGAAATCCAACTTAATTTCTTCTGCATCTTTAATTTTTACAGTATCACGGTATGCTATAAAGCGTACTGTATAAATACACAGTAGCACTAAACACAGAATCTCTACATTTCTTTCTTTTTCCAGCATATTCTATTCACAATATTTCAGTAGAACCTGACATTTAAAGAGTTTCCTCCTGCTAGACACTCACAATACTGAGAACCTGGTTTGCAGTGAGCCCTCCATAATTGAATGTTAAATGAAAGAATTCCTTCATTAAGGACTTGCTTCTTCAATCTTGATAAATATAATTTATTTTGTTCTTTCAATAGCAGATATGGTCCCAAGTGCCAGAGAGAGTGTCAATCTGAGCTGTGCAGGTGGGGCTGTATCCAGGTGGTGGGAGGGTCAGGTGGGTATTTCTGACCTGAGCATTTTTGTCCGGAGGAGCGGAAGTGGACACACGCCGGCCCACAGGGCTTTTCTGCTGACATGGGTTGGCGGGAGGAGCTCCTGGGTTGTGGCTCTGTTTAGAGTCCACAGCTGGGCAATGAGGGGGACTGGAAGGACCTTTCTGATGTAGTGGCGTCTGTCAACCAGATGATGGCGCCAGAGATCGCAGGGTCTGGCCTGGGTGCGGGTCTTTCCTGTTGACGCCCCAGGCTCCTGCGCGGGGACTCACCCCTGAGCCCTGAACGCAGTTCCTCAGTCCGAGATGTCACTCGCAGGACGCACACTTGCACACACGAGCCCCTCACTTGTCGCTCACACTCTCTGTTACACACCCTCGAACTCCCAAATGTGTGCTCCAGGATTTTCTCTCCACTCACAGCCGCAGACGCCCCTGTGGTCCGTGCAAATGTGCACACTCGTTGCAGTGGACCCCGCTTCCTGCTTTTTTTTTTTTTTTTTTCTTGAGAAGGAGTCTCGCACTGTCGCCTGGGCTGGAGTGCACAATGGCGAGATCTCAGCTCACTGCAACCTCCGCCTCCCGGTTCCCCAGATTCCCCTGCCTCAGCCTCCCGAGTAGTTGGGATTCTAGGTCCCCGCCACCAAGCCCAGCTGATTTTTTGCATTTTTAATAAAGACGGGGTTTCACTATGTTAGACTGGTCTCGAACTCCTGACCTTGTGATCCTCCCGCCTTGGCCTCCCAGAGTGCTGGGATTACAGGCGTCAGTCACCGCGTCCGGCCCAGCCTTGCACTTTATCTCACAAGTTTTCCCACCCGGAGACCCCATTTCAGACACACAAACCCTCTCAGCCTCCTCCTTTGCCTCTCATCCCCTTAAAACGGAAATCCTTTATTTCCTCCAGAATTTGTCCGCTCTCTTCCCAGAGTGCCCGTCCATCTTCTGCCTGAGCCTCTAGGGCAGTCCTTTCCTGCCCCTTGATTCCAGCATCTCCTTTCGTGCCAGTTTTTGTACGTGCATCTTACCATGCTAAAGTGAAACCGACCCAGCGAATCACAGAATGCCGGAACTCAGGGGTCTGGAAATATGTCTCATTGACAGTCTGGTGTTTTGGTAAATGAAGTTTTATTGATGCATTTCTTAGGGCTGCTCCATGCCACAGTGACAACACTAAGGGGGTTGTGACAGAGAACTTAAGAGTACCGTCTACAAGCCTAAAATATTTACTCTCTGGTGGCTCAAGCCTGTAATCCCAGCACTTTGGGAGGCCGAAGTGGAAGGATCACTTGAGCCCTGGAGTTTGAGGCCAGCCTGGGCAACATGACAAAACCTTGTCACCACAAAAACATTGTTTAAATTAGCCAGGCATCTGTGGTCCCAGCTACTTGGGAGGATCTCTTGCCCTCTGGCAGTGGAGGCTGCAGTTAGCTGTGTTTGCACCACTGCACTCCAGCCTGGGCCACAGTGAGACCCTGTCTCAAATTTTAAA